TCCTGTTTGAATCTGGACCTTGCACAGAGCCTGACGGGCTGTCAGGGGTGAGATTAGTGAGAGCAGCGGTCCTTCGCAGTTAGCGAGAGCAGCAGCGGTCCCTCGCGTGGGAAGGGGGTGTCGCGGTCTGCAGGACCCATACTGAATGCTGGTAAACATCAGGACGTCATCGCGAGATGCCCTGTCTCTCTTTAGTCAAAAAGCTCATCAGTGGGACTAAGCTGGTGAACCAGAGTGCTTTTGTTCAGCTGCCTTTGATTTTAGAAACAAGAAAAGGAGCATTTCAGAGGGAGGATTGTGGGGGGAGCGAGATGTGGTCACTCCGCTACTGGCGTGTGGCCGTGTCCTGCTCATTGCCAGCCCGGTGTTCCCCTCCCTGCTGGGAAACCCCGAGAGGCCTTAGAAATGTTCGGAAATACAGATCCAAGAGCTCTTGTTTAAGTATGAGAAACCTGTGGTGATGAAAGGAAAGAATGCGGTCGTATATAATTTTTAGTAATATTTCTAGAGTTTTGAAAATCTTCATGCCCCCTCCGGCACTTTGTGTAGAAAACTGTAAATTCTGTTAAGTTCTGTTTGCCACACAAATAATCGTTTTGGTTTTTTTTTAAGACTGCAAAAGTTTCTGCATTTTATTTTTAGAATTCTGACACCAGTTTCCTTTTAAGTGTGATACTAGACCCAAATGACCTCATGACTTTTTCCAGAGAATTCAGCATCATTTCTAGACAATTAAGTATAAGCTTCTGAGAAGGGAGGAATATTTGATTTATTCATAAAACTGAGTCTGATGACACCTGTTGAGGAACACACGAACTAGCCCTGCTCTCATCACCTGTTGCCGTGTGTACTCACTGCTCCTCTTCCTGCTGCATGCGTGGACGGGGTGCGGTCTGTTCGGTCCATCGCAGTGGGACACCTTCACCAGTCTGAGCGTGGGCATTTCCAGTGACTCTGTGTTTATTTCTTCAGGATATTAGTTAATTAACAGAGAGTCTTAATAAGCAGCTTCCAACTGACACAGATTTAGTTTTTGCAAAACAGGTGCCGTTTTTAGCAGGGAATATGAGTTTCCCTTGCAGTTTCCCTTTGCAGATTTTTAAGCTGCAGGGAACAGCTCGTGTGCCACTGTATGCGCTCCCCGCTGCACGTCACCGCTGTGTGCTGGTGGGCAGTGCGGTGATGCCCCGTCTTCTGGTAAAGGCTGCAAAATACGCTGAGGAGGTACCTATTTCCCCCCTTCTCGTTATCCAGTGTGACAATGTTGGGCCCTAGAAATCTTCCTTGAAAACACTGCTGTCTTCATGGGAAGCATTTGGTCCTTTCTCAGTTGAAATAAGTTGTGTTGGGCAACGCAAAACTCCACTCAGCAATGTGTTTCCACAGGGGACCTCTTAGCCATTCTCTGCAAGACCACCAGTAAGAGAATAGGTGGAAACCAGAATAGCTTCACCTTTCACCGCTGCAGCACTGGGGCTCCTGATGTGGAGATGTGAATTGTTTCCAGCATCCCTAAAACTTGCATGCAGTCTCTTTACCTCTTTTGCCTTCTGCTGCTATTTTTAACTTGAGCGAAATCCCAAGTTCCTGTAGCTTGGCAGCGTGCTCTCAAGAGGCAGCACCTTGTCCTGGATGCCCATCAGGTGTTGTGTAAGCACTCGCCGTAGCTGTGCACAGGGCAGTGTTCAGTGCTTGCTGCCAGGGTGGAGAGGCTGGAGGGGCTTCTGGGGATGGAGATGCTGGATGGGCTGGAGTTGCTTGGGGGGGTTGGAGTTGCTGTAGAGGCTGGAGGGGCAGGGGAGGCTGGAGGGGCTGGAAGGGCCGGTGTCCAAGTGACCTGTGGCTGTCATCCAAATTTTTATTCAGTGAGTGTGAAATGCAGCATCAAACCCAGAAATCCTCAAAGCCAGAAGCTGTTTAAACCTGTCTTGACACTGCATACCTTCACGTGGTTACCTATAACATTGTCATTGCTGACAACGCTTTGTTTCCCTTATCTCCCCTGCTCTGGGAGGGTGAGCTGCAGTGTTGCTCACTCAGGGGAAGCAGTTGGCCTGCTATGATATGTGGCAGAGCAATTGTGCACGGGTTCTGAGGCCATCATATTTTTAAGGTGAAACTACAATATATTGTGTTATTTGAGAAACAGTGCGTGGCTGTGACAGCTCAGAGACATGCCCAGGTACCAGCGCAGCCCGTCATCAGCAGTGGCATGGGATTTGGTGAACTGTGAAGCAAAGCGGAGCCTTTTCTCTGTCTGCCCTTGTGCGCCGGTCCAGCACTGGTCCAGGTCGGTGCTTGTTGGACGCTGTCTGAAAGTAGCAATTTGGCTTAAGGTTTCTAGCCGGTATTTTTAAGACATTTGGACTGATCAGTTGTGAAGCTTCCGGGCGGGGGTGAGAGGAGTCTCCTGACAGGGTGCTGAGCCAGGACACGCTGACAGCCCCTCGCGCTGGAGCTTTGCACTGCCCGCGAACAGCCCTGCTCACCCCTGCTGGCTGCGAGGAGAGGTTGGGGCTGCTTCCGGCAGATGATGGGATCTGCTCGCAGGCTTTTAGATCTGGTGATCCCTGAATGGAGAAGGGAAGGTAACCCAACCTACCTAACCTGTATCAGGAACAGCATGGCCAGCAGGACCAGGGAGGTGATGGTGCCCCTGTACTCGGCACTGGTGAGGCCGCACCTCAAGTACTGTGTTCAGTGCTGGGCCCCTCACCCCAAGAAGGCCATGGAGGGGCTGGAGCGTGGCCAGAGCAGGGCAGCGAGGCTGGGGCAGGGGCTGGAGCCCAAGGCTGGGGAGGAGCGGCTGGGGGAGCTGGGGGGGCTCAGCCTGGAGAAGAGGAGGCTGAGGGGAGCCCTCATCGCTCTCTGCAACTGCCTGAAAGGAGGC